AAGGACCACATGGAAACTTAGAAAGGTAGAAATTCCATTTACCAAATAATATATGTATCATTTCATTTTGCTTCGAGCATTCTGCAGCAAAAGGGTTCTGCTCCCCAATCTATCTCCAGATTTACTGATTTAGGATAAATCACTTCTACCTACCGGGAGGTTTGGTCAAATTACAAAATGACCTTTGAGGTTTCTAAAATTACAAATGCGCCCCTTGACCAGTCAGATTTTTGCATCCAGCCCTTAAATACTACAGTAAAAGATTATAGAATGTAATGATGTTAGCAAGAACTGTATGTCGTCGACTCTTCGTACTGAACTTGGTATTTTAATGTTTTTTTGCAGCTTAATTATTTAATGCTTTCTCTTGGAATACTGTCTGGGTGATGTTTAATTCCTACTAATATCATTTTATGTCACATCATCTCTCAGTGTCGTTTGTAGAAGATCTGATTGGCCAAAGGACTTGTAATGTTAACAACTTTGAGGGTCATTTCGTACTTTGATCAAACTTCTGGGGTAAAGATGTAATTAGCCCCCAGATTTATCACTAAAATATTCTTAGTGAAAAAAAGAAATGAAAGTTGCTTTCTCATTTTACTATGACCCTTAATTGGAATACTTCAGATATGCACTGCAGTGGGAATCTGACAAACTAATAACTGTGAGCACTGCAATTCAGGATTGGCTTACTTCAAGTAAACAATCAAATGCTTAATTAATTGCTAGACAATGCAATTATTCATTTCTGATGGGGCTGAAATGATGTGTGGATGATTTACTGAATTGCAGAAATTGCACTACAATTGATGAAGCAAGGTGCAATGATGACAGTGTTAAGCTCTCTCCTATCAGCATTAGCTTGGCCAGCAACGTTATTTTCCATGACTGAACTTATTGATAGCAAATGGGCTATTACTGTTAACAGGTAGCCTGTGTGTGTGTGTTTTTTTAAATTCACTTATCTAATTATCCCACAATTTCCCTGGCGAGTTTTGAGTGCTTTTGTTTTTATTCTTACTTGAGAGTTGAAACTAATTGACATGATTAGTTTGTTTTCCATTGTTCATACATCATTTTTATTCCTTCAGGTCCTAGTTATCTGTCAATTAGTAAATACATGTACAGAGTAGTATTTATTACTTTTCCTCCCCTGTTCTATGCTTAAGAGATGTAAGATGAAGAACATTGGGAAACATGAAAAGAGCGGCGTTAAATGTGTAGACAAAAATAGTTCATAGCATTTTAATTTGATGAGCTGATAACAAACAACAGATCAGTGTTTTCTGCAAGTGCGGTCTGGGGAGGGTAAGAGTAAATTTGGTAAGATTATTTAAGTTGCGATTGCGATAAAATGGACAGAGGTCTGGAGGTTATATTAGTACATGGACACATACTTCATGCACCATTTATTTTTTACATAATTCCTACAAAAAAAATATTCTTCTTATATCAATTGTCTCGCAAATTTGTTAGATCTGACAAGGCTGGAGAACTGATGGCGGAAGTACTACAGAAAGGATATCAAGGGCAAAGGTGTGGATGCTCGACCTTAATTCAATCACTGGGAAAATATAATTCCCTAAAGGGTCCGCTTCGAACTTGAAAAATAATAGGGAAAGAAAAAGTAGAAAAAATAGAGGTGGAATTTGGATGGAAAGAAAATGCGCAGAAAATAAAAAAATTGCTTTCTACTCAATAAATTAATTTTGTAGATTTGTTAAAATTCAAATTTGTTTTGTTTGGACATTGCTATCATATAAAGGCTAATAAATCTAAATATATGTAAGATTTTAAAATATTGAGTTCTGAACAAAGCCTAAAAAGACTGAATAAGGAGATTATCAATTTGCATTGTTAATTGAGCATGAATGTTTCAGGCCAGTGACACTTGTAGGGTTTTCTCTTGGGGCAAGAGTTATTTTCAAATGCCTCCAGTGTTTGGCTGCAGACAAAAGATATGGTGAGTATCACAAATTCACAAAGAGAAGCTTCTGTAATTACTTGTGTAGTTGTATTACACATTAGACTTCATACCTGATTTAAATATAGACTTTAGTTCTATACATTATTACTCAATTTTTTTCTGCGACCTTTGGACTCCATTTTGTCAACGGCTATGCAATTTGCACTCAATTTGATCCTCCCAGCGGAAGGAGTAATTAACATTGTAATTTCGTACGTGACTAAATGGACTTCAAAACTTCAAATTACAAAGTTGAGACTTGAGAGTCAAATCAAGTCTGAAAATGAATCTAAATTTTGTGAATGGACAAAAATGAACTTTTTATTTAGAGCCATAAATGCATGAAGGCTGGATTGGGTTTGAATTTAATGGTCGAGGAGAATTTAATTGAATGGATAACTCAGGTATTAAAACTCATATATTTATGTTTTTACTATTTTGAAATTTGGCAGCAGGGCTTGTGGAGCGAGTTGTTCTTCTCGGTGCACCAATTGAAATTTCTACTGTGAATTGGGAAGCAGCCAGAAAGGTCTAGCTCCCTAATTGGTTTATACTAATTGATATATGGTTTGTCAATGTTCATTAACCTAGACCGGACCGGCCGATGGACTGGCCACCAATTACAAACCTAACCGGACTACTTTTGTTAATATATTAGTATTGTCTTCCTATTATTAATATATCATTATCGTCTTAATGAGGAAGGCTAAATTTACACCCATTTTTCATCTTCCACTTAGATGATTTTCACTCAAAACCGACCGAAGGATTGAATGTTAGTACTACCTAAACTACCCTTGTAAAATTTCACAACAATTCAACATCGTTTCATGATTCATTTAATAAACCAAAAGCAATGTAATATAATGGTCTACAATGTCTGAAAATATAAGTTATACTCCATACAATTCACAACAAAAGTGATGCATGTGTTAATAACTTCTAATCATATGGTCGAGTTTGAATGAAAACAATTCGAGCGGAAAATATGGCACATCTAAGAAAGGGTTTTAAAAAGCGGTGCAAGATTACCCTTTAAATCTCTCTTACTGGATCAATAATCGGTTTTTAACATTCCTCCTTGACACACCTTATAATGAATGAGCCACTATGTTTTCTCAGGTGGTGGCTGGGAGGTTTGTGAATGCATATTCTACAAATGATTGGATGCTCGGAATCGTGTATCGTGCCAGGTAAGCATCCAACCCATCTGAAAAAAATAAATGTCGTGTGGAAAAGTGAGGAACAAGCCCATTCCCTTTTTTATACAAATATTTTTTTTGTTTCAATTCCTATGCAGCCTCCTGAGTCAAGGACTAGCTGGAATTCAACCTGTTGAAGTTGATGGCATTGAGAATGTGAGTGTCATCAATCTTTTGTTAATGCATAATCTTTGCTTCCTTTCATTACTCTAAGCTATATGTCCTGCGTTCATGTTCCTACACTGGATGGGAAACAATGAAATGACAAATTCAAGTCAATAACCCATGTGATGATGTTATGTTTGGAGTGCAAATATCTGCATAACTCTGCATTAACATGAAATTATCCGTTTTGGACCAAGCTCTCGCATGGGTTCTGTTATGAGCTCAGAGCATGAGACATCACGACGTCTTTGCATCTAAATGAAAGCGTTTCCGAAGGATCAACATGGAGGATAAGAGCAAAACTGATCAAGAAGGCCACAAATGAGAATAAAGATTACAAGATAGACCTAAGGCACATACAAGAGATAACCAGTGCGGGAGTTTCGGAGGATGAAAGTGCTTTTTACCACACACACATTCATTTATTAGGCTTAAGTGTCAAGTCCCATAATAGCCCGACGTGCAACACTGAAAAAGTGATGCACAAGCTTCCTTTTAGTGATGCACCTAATGTTGTAACATAAGTTGGTGTTTGGTACAACAACAAACCCAGTAAAATCCCACAACAGTAGGGCGTGCGTACGCAGATCTTAACCTTACTCAGAAGTCAGAAGTAGAGATGTTGTTTCCAAGTGGTCTCTGACTCAAAATAAGACCGTGTGAGAGCACCGAGAAGCTAGTGTTTGGTAACCAAAGATTTTAAAAAAAGATGGTGTTACCGAACATGCTCTGTCTTTTGCGTTTACCCCATTTTGTATCTCGCACTACTAATGCTATTGATTTCAACAGGTTGATGTAACGGAATTGATTGAGGGACACTCTGCTTACCTATGGGCTACCCAAAGGATCCTAGACTTGCTCGACCTTGATGCGTATAATCCTGTTTTTGGTCGTGCCGCCGATCAGAAGTACTAGTTTTTTTCAGCTCAAGTTGTCTCCACATTTACTATGCATTAGCTTCTTTTTTTTGGTAACATAACTATGCGACCATTGCACCCAAAGTTTTGGTCTCTTGGACGGCGCTAGAACAGTGGTCTACTTGTACAAAGGTTGTTTTGGTTAACAAACATAACATAAAGTGCATCTTTGGTAAGCAAAATAAAGAACAACTCTAATTTTAGGTGTTTTTTTGTTACACCTGCTACTCTCCTAGTGGCTACAACTTTCAACATCACTCCATGATCATGACTTGATTACCAAGAACTCTCAGACCCTACACTGTGTGATCCAATTGAGTTGTGTTGTTTTACTTTTTATTTATCTTTTGCTAAAAAATGCACTCCATTTTAATTTATATTGCATGTTGTTCACAAAGTAAAATTATTTTCAGTTCTATTTATTTAAAAATTGGTGTGGAATTAAAAAATAAATTTATATATTTAAAAAATACATCAAAACTTCTAATAGAGTCATCAAGTTTATTTTAAATAATTTCACAATTCATTTCGTTGTGTGAAATAGACCCGTTTAAAAAAAGCACATTTACCTACCTAACAGAGACTTAGAATGCGTACACAAGCGAAAAGGTGGTTTATTTTGCAAAATACTATCAAGATTATTTTTGGAAGATGATGCAAAAGCAGGGTCATTTCAAATAATTTTCCCTTAAAATATTCTACTCGGTAAATCCATTTTTTCCCCCATATTTTATTACTACTACTACTAGCCCAAAGTCTTCTTCTATATTCACTCTTTAATTTTAATTTTATCCCTCAACTAATTAATTACTTCCTAAACAATTAAGACATTAGAAGAAGGGTTTGCAAGGAGGAAGGGGAGACCCACACAAGCCAGGGTTCCCCAAAAAAGCCTCCTTGGGTATATTTGCTTTGTGTGCAGGGATTTCCCCACTCAACCTGTTCCCAGAAACATCAAACTTCTTTAGAGATTCAAGATTCATCACCTCCCCTGGGATCTCCCCACTGAGCTGGTTTCCCGACAGGTCCATCGAAATGAGGCTCCGAAGATCTCCGAACGCCTCCGGGATCTCTCCGGCGAGGCCGTTGCCGGAGAGGTTTAGGGTGAAGAGGCTTGGGAGATGGCCAATGGTCTCAGGGATGTTCCCTGTCAGGTTGTTGTCCCCAAGGCTCAGCCCTTGGATCTCTGTGAGGTTCCCAATGGACGGTGGGATCGTCCCGGTGAACGCATTGTCGTGTAACCGGAGGTTCAGCAACGATCTCAGCCCCGGGAGGATTGGTTCTCCGGGAATGGGTCCGCCCAGTCTGTTCCCGTTCAGCTGCAACAACAAAAGTTTGGAAAGATTCCCCACGGAAGCCGGGATTCTTCCCGTGAGCCGGTTTCCGGATAGGTCGAGGTAAATAAGGTTTTTGAGTCGCCCGATGGACTCCGGGATTCCGCCGGAGAACTGGTTCCCGCTGAGGTCGAGCTTCGTTAGGGCAGCCAGTTCCCCGACGGAGTCCGGGATGGGGCCCGACAGGTTCTTGAGGCCGCGGAGGTCAAGAACTTGGAGGGCGGTGAAGTTGGCGATGGAAGGGGTGAGGGTCCCGGAGAGGGTCGTGTTGAGGACCCCCCAGTTTATTGTGGCTAACAGGCCGGGTCGTGACAGTGCCACGACGCGGCGTGTTAGGTCGCAGGACAGGCCCTCCCATAAACAGCAGTCCATGTGGGGGTCCCATGATTGGAGCAGACGGGGAGGATCAGCTGATGTGATGCTGTCCAGGAAATCCATTAGGGCTTTTCCATCGCTGGGATTGCATAATGTTTCTTGTGGATCCAAAGAAAGGGAGATGTTGAAGAAGAAGATGATGATGAAGAAGAAGACTGCCTTCTGGCACTGATTTTCCATTTTGGATCTCTGGAATTATTAACTTTGGGGAAAAAAAGCTTGTGTGTTAGTTAAATACGGAGTATATATTCTCATGGAAGTTGCATGAATATTATATGCATCCCAAAAACCCTAATGACAAGGAAAACTCACCACTGCAGGGTAACAAAGGGCCTATTTGGAAATAGCATTAACATTTCAGATAAAATTTTAACGATGCAGATTACTTTAGAAATACTAATGCTAAATGCTGTCCGTAGATATCATTTTTAAAACGCTGACGTTAATTTCTAACAGGCTCAAAATATGAATTCTGATAATTAATAGGATTTACAAAAATATTTTAAACATTACGGAGTATATGATTAGATATACACCATGAATAGATTTTCCATTTTGGACAAAAAATAATGTGGATGAATTTGGATACCTACTTATTAATTTTGTGAAAAAACGTGTGGGTTAATAAGGAAACTCAGTTATAAAATACGGAGTAATTACCTTAATGCAAACGTCCATATTAGAGTTGGGATTTGCAAAAATAAATAAGATATGATATGATCTACACCATGAATAGAATAATATTTTTTGGGAGAAAGACCAAAGTAGGACTAAAACATTGAAGATATACCAAAATAGGATTTTCATGTTTTTATTCTCGAAATAGGACTTATATTACCAGACATGGTCATGTACTTACCAAAAAAGTATAATAATGTGCGCATGTACAGTGCCACATTACTATAGTGCAAAGTCTTATTTGGGGAAAAAATATATAAAAGTTCTATTTTGGTACTTTTTCTATGTTTTAGTCCTATTTGGAGTGATTTTTTTTAGATGAGGTGTCAAATGCATCACACACACAAACATAATGTAAAAAGGGAGAAAGACCAAAGTAAGACTGAAAATATATCAAAATAGAACTTCTATGTTTTTATTTCCGAAATAAGACTTAAAATGCATTTGCATTACCAAACATGAAATCTTGTCTTTTTTTAAAATGTTTTTATCCACATATTTGTATAGAAATAAGAAATACAAAATAATTATTTAAAAACTATATAAAAAGTTCTACAAAATAATACGAAATATGTGACAAGTGTTGGAATTTTTGACATTTTTAATAGGCATTAAATGGACTAACTTGAGCATATTTATCAAAAGGTCCACTAACTGTTTTAACCAATCATTAATAAAGTATGTTCTCTTAAATGAGATAAATATTTTGATAATTTATACGCCAAAAATGATAGAAAGTGCATATGAAATTGATTCTCAAAACTAACTCGTTAATAGAAGAATATGATAAAGATTACAGTTTAGCAATTTTATTGAACCAATATTCTATAATTATTTTTACGTGATATTTTAAATTAGTCAATTTTTACGAGATTAATTTTAAACATAAACGCGTGTAACCCCCATGTTAATAGTGAGACATTAATATGCCACTAATAATTAAAAGAAGACAAATGCTAGATTCACAAATAAAATGGTCAAAAATTCACAAACCTACTATTTGTGAACTTAATAAAAAATTAAATTGTCTAAAATTAAATACTCTAAAATAATATTATTTTGCCTATTAAGATACATTGGAGGTTCTCCCCTCTTAAAAAGAGGATTCCATACGTGTGAAGAGAAAAAAAAAGAAAAAAAAATTTTTTCCTCATTTTTAGTGAAAGCTCTTGATTTTCCGGCCACATTTTCGGTGATTCCTTTCAAGTTTTTGCCGCTAATGTTCCGGCGTTGTTCTTGTTCGTTGGTGTATTGTTGATCCATACTATCACCACACACGATAACAGTTTTATCTTGGGAAAAGAGTGCCCGCGTTTCCAGTACGGTAGGCGGACACTACTACCTTAAGGACAACTCCGCCGATTCCGGTGTGCTTCCACTGTACACTACTACCACAACAATTGCTACCTTCTTAATCTACCTTAAACCTCCATGCTTCGTACTCCAGCACCACCTTCCTCCTTCCCCCTTCCCAAAATGTCAGTTGGCTTCAGAAACACAATAGCCAATCACTGTTTCGAGGAGTGGTGCAGGAGCGAGGTAGGAAGATAGGAAATATCAATATTTTGAACGGGATATCGTAGTTCTAGTTGTTATATTACGACAACTAGAGTAGTTATCAAAAGAAGGAAGTGATCAAAAAATAATAACAAGACATATGTAGAGAATAACTATGTAATGAGATGTTTGGCCTTTCTTGACCTTCAGAATAAGATGTTTGGAGTTAGCTATTTGAATTTTGTTTTAAAAATTTATTTTAATATGACATACCAGTATTAATTTTATCAAATTAATGCAACATGTTAAATAAATCATTACTTGGTATATAACTCGAGAGAAAATATTATAATCATAATCTAACTCGATCAAGATCAAGTTCGTATTTAATTTTAACGGATCGAATTTGAATATCTAAATTTAAAATTAAAGAATTACTCCGTAGTAAACAACTACTACTAAATTAAATTTTTCTACTCTTTTTTCATGGGAATATTACACCAAACCCAATTTTATTTTATTACTACTACTACAACTAGTAACTATTTTTTCTCATTCTCACACTCTTCCCTTTTCACTCTTTCCTCATTATTTCTAGGCCTTTACTTAAAAAAAACAAGGCATTAGTGTTTGCAAGGAGGAAGTGGGGATCCACACAAGCCAGGGTTACCCAAAAATGCCTCCTTGGGTATATTTGCTTTGTGGGCAGGGATTTCCCCACTCAACCTGTTTCTGGAAACATCAAACTCTTTTAGATATTCAAGATTCAACACCTCTTTTGGTATTGTACCGCTGAACTTGTTGCCCGAGAGCACTATCGTCTCCAGCTCTGTAGCATTCCCAAGAGATTTCGGAATTCTCCCTTCGAACTGATTGTTTGACAGATTCAGGGATTCTATCTTGTCCAGAACAATTCCGTCTTCTAATTCCCCAGAAAATCGGTTGTTTGAGAGATCTATGAACGTGTAGTGTCCCACTGAGAAGAATCCCGACTCACTTGCTTTCTTGAATATGATGGTGTTCACATCCCCAGAGAGGTTGTTTGAGTGGAGGTCAAGAACCGAGAGCGATGAACAGTTCCTGAGGGATTTCTGAGTGAAACCCATTGTTGGACAGGTTCAGGGAGGAAAGAGCGGTCATGTTTCCCAGCCAAGATGGGATTTTTCCCTGGATTTGATTTCTTGATAAATCAAGAAATGAAAAGGATGAAGAAGCCAGTGAGCTGGGAACCTCTTTGAGACCCATTCCTGCTAGAGAAAGATTTGTAACTCTCAGGGCAGGAATGACCCGGAGATCCAGAGATGGGTTGAATGAGAGATCCAAAGTGGATAATCCCTGCTGGTTTCCCAGCTGGGGAGGGATCTTTCCGCTCAGTTGGTTTCTTGACAGATCCAATACGCCGAGGTTGCGAAGATCTCCCAAAGTCTCTGGGATTTCTCCGGTGAAGCCGTTGTTGTAGAGTTGCAGAGTCATGAGATTGGAGAGGCGGCCAATGGATTCCGGGAGATTCCCTGTGAAATTGTTGTTCTCAAGAAAGACCCATTTCACATTCTTGAGGTCTCCAATGGCGGGTGGGATCGTCTCATCGTCCTGATATTGACTCTGCAGCAATGGGTCCAATGGCGGGACTTCCAGTGAGCTCAGGCCTGATATTGACTCTGCAGCAATGGGTCCAGTCAATCTGTTTCCATTGAGCAGTAATCTCACTAGATCTGAAAGACTGCCCACACCACTTGGGATTCTTCCACTGAGTTGGTTCACCGACAAGTCCATATACCGGAGCTTCTTGAGATTCCCAATGGTGCCCGGGATGCTCCCCGCGAGCCGGTTCTTGAACAAGTAGAGATCTTGGAGATGCTTGAAATTCCCAATGCCGCCCGGGATCCGACCCGCGAGTTGGTTTTCGGACAAGTCGAGAAACTGGAGGTTCTTGAGATTCCCAATGGCGTCCGGGATCTCACCCGAGAACCCGTTCCCATTGAGATAGAGAGTGGTGAGGGAGACCAATCTCCCAATGGACTCCGGGATGGGACCCGACAAGTTCTGGAGCCCGGCGAGGTTAAGAACTTGGAGGGAAGACATGTTGCCAATGGAAGGGGGGAGGGACCCGGAAACGTACACGTTGAGGATCCCCTCGTAGTCGGATATCAGGCCCTGTCGTGACAGTGCCACGACACGGCCTGTCTGGTTGTCGCATGTCACTCCCTCCCAGGCGACGCAGCAGTCTGCGGAGGGAGTCCATGTGAGGAGCAGAGGGTATGTAGGATCATCTGTGACTGTTTTTTTGAAATCCAGTAGGGCCTCTTCATCCCATGGGTGGCATGCTTCTAATGGTTTGAGTGTGTTGAAAGAAAGGAAGAAGATGGTGGTGGTGAACACTAAGTTCTGGCACAGATTTGCCATTTTTTTTAGGTTTGTAAGGGAATTTGGATCTCTAAAATTAATTAATTTTGGCAAAAAACGAAAAAAGAAAAAAACTTGTGTGCTAATAATATTGTCATGGAAGTGGTATTATGTTGGGAGTATATACACACTAAAACAACTAAAAAAGGAAACTTAATCAAACAGAGTAACAAAATATTACCTTAATACAAATACGAAGGTAGCCTAAAATGAAGATTTTACAAAATAAACCTCATATATACACCATAAATAGAATATATGTGTTTTTGGTAAATAAAAACTTGATTTATACACCATATATATTTTGATTTAATTATTTTTTTTGTTTTTATCGTAATTTAATTTAGTCATTCTTAATATAGAGTATATTTTAGGATAATGCCAATGACATAATCTAAGAGTCGTTAGAGATTAGCATTAGTGTTTTGACAATGTTATCTACGAGCAGTATTTAGCATTACCCATTTTCAAAATAATCTGCACCGTTAAAATTTTATCCAAAACACTAACGATATTCCCAAACATACCCTAAATCTCTTGTCAATTACTGTATTTTCTATTTTTCTTTATTGAGATTCTATTCTCCAACAATATTGTCAACAACTTTCCTTTTACATTACAAAAAGTATTGCTACATTCTCTTTTATAGATTTTAATTTTTACGCAATTTTGAGTTTGTAAAAAATATTTTAAACTTTAAACCAATACTTCAATAAGTTACCTTTCAAAAAAATATATTTCAATAAGTTAAATTTAGAATAAATTTGATTAAAAGTTATACACAGTTTATCATAAACTGAAAGTTAGTATTTACAACCTATGTATACAAACAATTGTATATTTCATTCACAATCATTTTAGGGTGTGTTTTTTCCTCTCTACAAATTTTTTTATTTAGTATTGTAATATTTTATGTTGTTCCCATAAAACATTTTAGGGTAATCTTTTTTCCTCTCTGCAAAATTTAACAATTCAAACAAAACAATATACTCCGTATTATAGGGATGAGACCGAAATGTTTGATAAAAAAACGAGACCAAGGCTCTTGCAAGGTTACTAGAATGGTCTTGTGGGATGAGTGTTAAGTCTATGTCTCAAGATCGATTCCCGCTAGTAACACTGTAAGAGTTTTAACTAATGTGATGGTTCATTGTGCGTACCGGGCACAAAACAATCTCTCAAAAAATTAGATTAAAATTATCCTATGAATAACTTTCTCACTACTTTGTCGGAATAAGGTGTTGAGGTATCCGGAGTGAGCGTTCTACTTTTTTAGAAAGGATCATGTTCTTCTTTGTTTGGCACATTATGTTCACAGGCTTATCTCAAGCGTGATCTTAGGGAATAACCAATGCAAGGAATCTTGAGACTCTCTCACACTCTGCTACATCAACATTTTATTGTTTTAGACTATTCTCTAAACTCTCAAAAACTATCACATTCTTTAGACAGTCTCAGATTTTGCCTTACTAGTATTCCATAATCTTTAATTTCAATAATTGTATTTATATTAGATTAGTTATATAATATATAATTGTATCGCATATTGATTTTTCTATCAACTTTATTTATGAATAAAACTAACCGTTAAAAAAATTCTACAACACAAAATTTTACAACCGTATTTAGTAAAGTTAGAGATAATTATATAAAGTTAACTTAAAATTACCTAAACTATTTGTGTACATTTCATTAAAATTACATAAGTAAAAGCACATAACCTGTAAATTGTCTAAAATAAAAAATAAAAGCACAACAAATATTTTGTTGTTTTATGTTTTTGTTTTTTAACTCTGTACCATTTTTGCATTTTTAAATATTTTTACTTTTTTAAATCATAATTTTTTGTTTTTTATTATAAAAAACTGGTACTAGTTTTTATTTTTAGAAAATAAATATTATTAAATATTGGTGTTTGTTTTTCATCTTATAGGTTGAGTCAAGAGTCTTGAATAAGAGTGGGCAAACTATTGTAAAGGTTCATGTATTTTTTTAAAAATATTTAAGTTAGTCCCTGTACTCAAAATTAAATTTAGTTCTATCCATACAGGTACTATTTATTTGTGTTCAAGCAGCTTCATCTATTCACTTATCTCTTATATATTGACCCAAAATTTTAATGATGATATCGAATTTTACTATAGATGATATGTAACTGTTGTATTGACATATTAATTCATACTTATTTTTAAAAAAACATTTTTAACTAAGAACAATATACATTTATTTATTTTCTTTTATGAAACAAAATTTAGGGATAAATTAATTTATTATATAGTGACTTAAATTAGAGTAAAAGTATTGTTTTCATGTCTTTTATTGCAAAATTTGGTGTCATTGTTAAAAATTTGAAGCAATATATAAGAAACAAGTAAAGAGACGGACGTGATTAAACAAAAATAGATAATACCAATACAAAAACTAATTTAATTATTTTTTAGATAATACGAGTACATATACTTCTAAGTTCTACCGTACTTACTTTTATGTAGTCTTGTAAAAAGAGTTTCTCTTTCACATGCCCTTACATAAAAAATTTAGGATTGAAATCGGAAGAAGCGAACGCGGCCCTCCCCGCCACGCCAAGAAAATCAATCCTAATTCTACCCGGTAGCAGATGAGAGAGTGATGATGATTGGTGAAGAAGATGAATTGAACCAGCGCGGCGGAACTGAGACTGCCCCTCCGATAAATCACCGCACCAGCGGCGGCGGCGATGGAAACGGACACGTAAACCTAGCCAAAGACGGTGGAGTTGAGGGATCAGCTTCTTCCTCTGCCACGTCATCGCCGTCTTCCAAGAAGAAAGCGAAATCCTGCAAAGGATGTCTGTACTATTCTTCGACAATCAAGTCCAAAGCTAAAAATCCCCTCTGCGTCGGCATTCCTCGTTCTTTACCCCAAGGTAATGTTTTTTTATCCATTTATTCTTATTTTGGTTCACCTTTGATTTCAAGTTAGTGTTTTTTTATCACTGTGTGTTAATCTTACCATTTCAAGCTGTTCAGATGATTTCTATTTTCTACTAGTTCTTACCATTTTCAGCAAAAGAAAAAAACGGATCTTAGAAGCGAAGAGCAAGTGAATTCCATTTTATTTTTCACTTTCTATTTAATTTTTGATGCCTAAAACTATTTCTAACGTCTGGGCATTTGAGATCTCATCAACTCCATTTGATCCTATGATGGAGTTTTACTAAAGATTCAATCTTGTCGCCATTTGATTGGAAAAGAATTGGTTTTTGTAAATGTATGATTTCTTAGCATGCTTCCTAAAGTGTAGCTTTTGCATGTGTACTTCCTGTGTCGGAATGTGTGCCGTTTGTGTCTGTGCTCTTATTGTGTTACCCGTAGAACTTTGTTTTTGCTTCTGTGTCTAAGACGAGGGTCTCTTGGAAAGAGCCTCTCTGCTCCCGAGTAAGGGTACGGTTTGCATACACACACCTTCCTAGATCCTACTTTACTGTGAGATTTTATTGGGTTTGTTGTTGTAATTGTATGGATTGATTTTTTGTATTTGAATGAATGTTTAATGCCAAACCGATTTGTTGATTCCCGATGCCACACTGTGAAAAACTCTCTTTTTTTCATATTGCTGAAACTGAGTAGTGCAAATCATCTATTTTTCAGTTAGAGTAGAGCAGGGGCAATAAAGTTAGTGCATCGTATGAATTTCATCCACATATAAAATTTCATACTACAAAAAAAAGAATTGAAAAAGAGTTGAGATTTGCCTTGCACGAGTCGGACACATGAATTGGGACGGATGGAGTATTTATTTGTACTTCTGTCTATGAGCCGGGGATCTCTTTGAAACACACCCTATACTCCCGGGTAGGGGTAAAGTCTTCATACACACCCTCTCCCTAGACTCTACTTTATTTCTTGGGATTTAACTGAGTTTGTTGTTGTTGGAGTATTTATCTGCCTGTTATCTGTTTGTTAGTATTTTCGATTTACTCTTTGCTTATTCATTTCCTACATTTTAAGAGCAGTGCCTCAATTTATAGTTGGGGAATCAGCTGCGGAAGCTTATAAAGAGGGTAGAAGTCTTACGGATTTCAAGTATGCTTGTGTTGGTTATTCTGTTTATGCTGATAGAAAGTCCCGTCCGATCAACGGGCAACAAACACAAACTGAACTGCCAGCTTGTGTCGGGCTTGAGGTTAGCATTTAAAAAAATTGTTATCAGCTTTGAATCTTCTTGTTCATGAAGTTTTTACTTGCTAATATCACATAAGTTTTTACACAGATTCTACTTGATAAAAGGCCTGTCCCAACCAATCATGCTCCTGCCAATTCCCATAATCCGGAAGGTAAATCTTATGTTATCCAATGCGTAGAGGTGATAACGTACCTATTAATGTTTTGCATAAGGGATTGAGGGTACACGTACTTTAAATCCTTAATGAAAAATTCATGCAAATACTCATAGAAATGTGACATGAAACAAGAATATGCAAAGATTACATAAATTTTAGTAGCTCTCGCAGAAATTCAATATTTTTAACAGAATACTGCATATTGATCACATATACACTTCAAAAAAATATCTTGGGATATTATTCCAGAAATATTGAATTTCTTGGAGCGCTAATGATAATAATGTAATCTTGAAGTATTCTCGTAAAATGTTTAGTCGTCCCTCCATCCCATGAAAAACCCTCTATGAAAACTTTTTTTTCATCCCCTAAAAAAGTACTCCGTAATTTTTAACCAAAAAACTTAACTTGTATTGCTAAAAAAAATGTTCCAACCGGGTCGAGGATGTTAAGTTTAGTTAAACCAACACACAATATAAGATATTACAGTATATTGAAATTGATGATCAATTCTGATACTTGTACTGTCGTGCATCGTTCAAATTAAAATTTTGTACTCCACTGATACGTGACTCTTTTTCTGGGGCGGATGATGGAATGCATTTGTCACATGAAAAAGGTACCATTGATTTGTTGATTGTATTATATGGCTTTGTGATCTTTGATATAATCACATCTTTTTTACATATCCCGAGTGCTATAAATAGAAAGGTTAATCATGCAAGTCAGAAAATTAGCTCCTCTAAATGGGGGACTAGGTTTATATGGTGAAAGATGCAAAGCTAGTCTAATTTTATCAGAGTAAATATTCACACTACTTTACTACTAGGGGTAAAATGGGATTAAAGTCTGCACACATACATCCTACCCAGACCTTACTTTTTGTGGGATTTTACTGAGTCTGATATTGTCATTGTGGTCATTTCTTGAAGATGTAGGAGTGCCCCAACCTCAAACCCGACCTCATAAACCACCTCACTCAAGTGGCGAAGAATTCCTAACCAGGCAAGCCATGTTGAAATCTTGTTTAAGATGTCGTATCATCATTACTATGTTTTGAAACCAATACCATGATCACATTACGTTTGTGTTTTTTTTGTTGTTTCTCCATCGTTTTACAGGTTCTATAGGAATGCTAACCTGGTAGCCATGGGGGTAGTCAAGAACTTGCAAAAAGTCGGCAACAAAATAAAGACGAATGTGGATGACATCCTTAATCGGCGACCCAAATGAGACGTGCCCTATTTATCATAACTTTGCATGACCCAAAAATAATGTACCATTGTCTTTGAACGTGGGATATGTAGGGTGGAAANGGGGGGGGGGGGGGGGGGGGGGCGTGGCAATGTTGTTTAGCACTCTATTAGGGTCCGTTTGGTAAGGACTAAAATGGCTTTTGGGTGAAATTGCTGAATGTGATGAACTGTGAAAATATTCATCTGATATGTGTTTTTCAATAGATTAAAGAAAATAATGGAGTACCAAAGAGTGAAGTCCCATTTTTCATTTATTCTCAGCCTCTTAAAAGTGTTGCCTAAGAGCAATAGCATCTCATAAGTTAGAGAAGTGTTTGGCCAACACTTAAAAGAATGTTCCTTCAACAAGTAACTTGATGATTTCTTCCATTTCTCTTTATATAAATCAGATATGAGTCCCTCACTAATTTGTTAGGGACATATACTCCACTGTTTTGGTATAGAGTTTCTACCAACACCAATTATATACTCCCTTTATCGCGTAATGATTTACACTTTTACTATTATGATCTTTCAATAATTTTTAATTGTATATTTTCATTAAACCGTTAGATAAAATAAAATATTCTTATTACCTTTTGTTTTGTACAATTTTTGATGTAGTTTTTAAATATGTAATTTTTTATGCTAATTTATAATAAAATTATTTTAAAAAAAATAGATCTTGGACATCATTAGAATAGTGAATACTCCGTATTATTTTGGGAATAGAGGGAGTATATAAAAAATTTCATTAAGGTGTGTATAAAAAATCTTTGAAGTAAAAGACTGTAAAACCTGCGTGCTGAAGAACCTTTAATTATATCTTCGAACAAATGCTAGTCCAGAAAAAAAAACAGAAAATGAAATTGGATCATTTTACAAAAAAACATTATATATTTCTAAATGTTTGCCTAGAAACAAAGCTGGAATAGCTCAGTTGGTTAGAGCGTGTGGCTGTTAACCACAAGGTCGGAGGTTCAAGTCCTCCTTCTAGCGCGTGTGTTTTTTAATGTGTAAATTATGATAGACTTAATTTGTTCTTTTTTTGTCCTTCATAATAAATACGGAGTATAAGCCATTCTTTATTTCATTTTAGGTTAAAAAATATTTTTTATATTACTATTTCTCTTTTGAATAAATTTTAATCATTAACTTTCAACAAATACAAATTTATCAAGCTTCGTAAAGTGAAATTGCAAACTTTATTTTGAGCAAATAAAGTACTCCCTCCGTCCCTGAGTGTTTGTCCACTTTTATTTTTGCACACCATTCAATGCACTTCTTTAATCCATTTTATCTTGTAATTTGTATATTAAAAATTATAGAAATTATATATTAATAATCTATATGTTAAGACGAATCAAACAAGATCACACATGACTATTTTTAGGCTTACACATTGAGAGAATTTGATGAGTCAAAGTGCTTAGATGAACAGTTCCAAAAGTCAAAAGTAGACAAACACTCAGGGACGGACCAAATAATAACTAAAAACATTGATATACATTAACTAGAAAAATGTACTCTGATCTCATCTTTCCATACTTTTCTTTTCGTGTGAAAATAGCACAAAGATTAAGAATTGAAAGAAAATTAGAGAAACATCAAATTGAGATTCTTGATGTTTAACACTTTAATGTACTAAAATATATGACATTCAATTTTTGTACGGAGTACCAACAAACATTATTATGCAAAAACATAATGCCCTTGCTTGGAAATTGAATTTGATTATAATCCATATAATATGATTTGCAATAGGACACAAACTATAACGTAATTCATAAACATGTTACAGAGTGTTTATTATGGTCCCATCGTTCCCAAATAAAATTTGAAATTTCTTTTATGTGCTTTCAATGGTCATTTAAAAAAATAATATAATCACATCATGTTTTGTTTTATAGACTTTTGATCAAATTTCAAATGTGTAAATTTTATATTTATAACAATTTCCAAAAAAAAATATTCCAAAACTATTTTACCTCATAGATCCCTTTGTGACTTTTACTTAGTGAAGGAGGGAGAATTTATTGTTTATTTATTTTTTTATCGGTGGGGTTCGAATGACATTGGAACCCAATATTGTGGGATTACTCGAGAGCGCTCTGGTGTTCTGTCGTAAAATTGATATTTTTTATCTTCTAACACCCCTAGTAAACCCCCACATTTGGCTAAAAGATCAAACGACCAAAAATACTGACATATCAACAAAAAAACACCAAATGGAAAATACTTTATAATGATAACACTAATATATATTGGAAATAAAAATATACAAGTTTTTTATTTTTATATCAATTTCCATTTTTAGTAGTATTAAGATATATTAGTTAAAGAAAATTAATCAGAAGACACATGCTAAGAGCATATTCTCTTCGTGTGATGTGATTAGATCCGATTTGATTTTATTAACTTTTGATCTCATGTGATCTAACATATCTAGTTATAATCTCTCCGTCCCAAATTATTTGCAACGTTTACTTTTTAAGCAGTTGCTAGAACTTTTGTTTATTTCTACGTTTTCATTAGTTATTTGATAAAATAAAATAATCTTGACACCTCTTATTTCGAAGAACTTTTCATGTAGTTTTTTGATATGTAAATTTTATTTCTTATTTCTATACCAATATGTAAATAAAATGAATTGAAAAAACTTGATATTTTGCTTCGGAAATACAAGTGTGGCAAATATTTAAGAACGGAGTAAGTATTTATCAAAATTATTTTTGATCTGATTTGGATTGATTGTAATAATAGTCAATAATAAGTTGGGCTGGACATGTCCTTACTCTTTTGGCTTTGGTAAATTAGAATCACATCTTTTAAAAATATTTTGTATTTTACTGATTAACACAAAATGAATTTCCAAAGAGAAAAAATTCACCTCGTAAGTCGTAAGTTCTAAAATTCTCTTCGCGTACGTCGGCAGTAATTTTTTTTCATTGAAAGTTCGGAAAGTAAGATCACCGGTCTTAGTCAAAGCTGGCAGACACTGCTGGAGCGGTGGGCTTTGGGTTCTTTAAATTGTACTCCCTCCGGCGTTTCGATAATTTTTTTTCTTTCTATATTTTTATTAATAATTTGATAAAATAAAATTTTTTATCACATCTTGTGATTTAGAGTTTTTATGTATTTTTAAATGATGTAATTTATACTTTCTATTTCTATACTAAATTATAATTAAAATAATTTTCAAAATGATGAAATTTTGCACGTTCTTTAGAGTGTGGTATCATAAATGGGACGAAAAAAGTACACCATAGTTATGCAATTTCGTTTTGTTTCAATATGATGATTTACACAAGCACAAAATATTAGTATGGTTGTTTTTATCGCACTAGTATATTGTGCTAATGTAAATCATCGAAATATTAATGAATACTCCGTATTTTTTTGTGTATATTTTGGGATATACTTTTGGGGGTACCCCTAGCATGATTGTTAAAGGCCCTAAAAATTGTTTAGAAAAGAGAAACAAATACTCTCTCTCTCTCTCTCTTTTGATTACAAAATAGGAATTACGAGGTAGAATCTCGTAATTTTTGAAATTATTTTATTTACAAATTGGTATATCAATAAAAAAATAAAAAATACATGTTAAAAAACTACATCAAAAGTTCTACAAAAAAAAAAGGTGACAAGAATATTTTATTTTATTAAATAATCAATGAAAATACACAAGCAAATAAAATATTTTAAAAAGACAGAAAATAAAACTATTCCTAGAGGTTCATTCATCACATGATTGCTAAGTCAAGTTCGATTAACTTTAAAATCTCTAAGTTATAGATTTTTGAAGAAAAAGATATATCTTGTTAGTATAAGTAGTATTATAAGTCCTTGAATTGAGAGCTCTTTTCAAATTAATTAACAAGTCTTCATGGATATTAGTAAAAGTGTAAAACTTATCTAAAATATCAAAATAAGAGTCGCCTAGTTCAATCTCCTAAATAAGAGTGTAAAGGTGCACTATGTGTTGTAAGAATGATGACACTATGACGAAAGGTAATGATAGTGTAATATATACGGAGTATATGACAGTGTGATTAGTCACGTGCCGGTGGATAACTGGTCAATTGGTGACTGACGATGGCGGATGGTAGTGTGGTAAAGATAGTGTGATAGTTTAATATGATAATGTGGTGAATGTGCAATTTAACTACGACAATATAAACTTTATTTTGGTTTAAAAGACTTGAAATTTTTATTTTGATTTAATAAGACTAACTCTTATCCAACAAATTCCTCTTTCAAACTGTCTCATTTCAACTTGGAGATTTACAAGGTGTGTCTTGGACAAATATCTTCTTACGTTAATCCTTACATCGGTTATACTTTCGGTTCATAACTAAAAGTAGAATTCAAAGTTACTGACACATAATTCACATTCGTAAAAATTCACAATGATCAACAGTCAATTCGTCATGAACCATGCATCCTATATTTTTGTCACATTTAACAACGATATATTAATTTGGTATTGAAAGAAAATGCAATCAATTTCTTCAAAATACTCTTTCGTCCCAAAAAAATGTCATCTCTAATTACTATTTTAAAGTTAAATCATACTCGCATATTTTCTTTAAGTGAAATTTGCACTAAATAGGACTAAAACATAATGACTTTTCTAATGTAGGACTTAAACTTTTTTATTCTCTAAATAGGACTTAATAATGACCTAGTTGAAAGAATAATGTCCAGTAATGATGAACATTTAGTTGAATAATGACTACTTGATAATGACAAAAGGTCCTACATTGAGAAATAAAAACATATGGTCTTATATTTGGAAAGTCATTATGTTTTAGTCCTATTTAGATAAATTTCTCTTCCTTTAATATGTATTTTCGTATATATGAAGTAGAAAATGATTTCATTTAGGTTTATTAAATCAAAACATGACTCTTTTTCGGGACGGAGAAAATATAATGGTGTAACAACGTAAAATGGTATCCACATGGGAAAATATGAATCCCCATTTAATTAGCTCCCCCATAGAAAAAAAGGTTCATAATGAGCAACCAAACAAGTACCAAATCGCAACTAATGTCATTCACTGCACAACAATTGCTATAAATAGAGAGAGCATAGACTAGTGCGTTTTTCGTGGCTATACGCCATATGGACTTTTTAGCAAACGTAACGCTCCCTTTATATTTTGAATAAGAAAAAAAGAAAAATATCATTTTAATTATTCGAATGTGGGGTTTATGGAGGAACTTAATCATTATTATTATTTATAGAAAAACATATTGTGTGGTTTATTATTGCTACCTCTCATAATCATATGGTTTTGGCCTTTCAACCGCCTTCCACCAAATGCTTGGTGAGTCGTTGCAAAAACATTATGATTATCCTTACCCAACACCCTTCATCCATTACATACTCACCCCTAAAATTAGACCTGCCAAAATAGAACCGGAACTGATTACCCGAACCGAAATATCCGAAACCGAAACCGGAATTATCCGAAAAATGAAGATCCGATCTATAACCGAAAACCCGAAATGATCCGAACCGAACCGAAACCGAACTAAATAATTCATATCCGATTTAAATCCGAAACCGATTAGATCCGAAACCGATAATATCCGAACTGATTAAACCCGAAACTGATTAGATCCGGACCCGATAATACCCGAAACCGATAAAATCCGAAACCGATTAGATCTGAAACCGATAATATCCGAACTCGATTAGAACTAAAATCGATAAATTCAGAACTATGTTTACCTTTCAATAA